GCTGATGCACTCCCACAGTAAATCCCAGCCTTTCCTCTGCACACCATCATTTCCCAACACACTGAATACACTGCCTGAACTTTGGCTGGGCTGTGCTTCTCAAACCTACCCAGGGAAACTGTCATGCTCCCAGTTTGTCTCAAGAGTCCTGTACTGTGAAACATCCTGCTTCTCATTTCACCATTTAATTCCAATTCCTTTCTGCTCCCAGATTCTTTCTGTTCCTTTAAGTCATCCCCTTGTTATAGCCCAGACAACATGGTTGGTTGTTGTTATTTTCCTCAGTTCTTTTCTAGCAGCCATAATTCATACTTAGATACAATCAATCCTCTGTTCTCTGAACGCTGTCACTCTGCTTTGAGCACACTTCCACAGCTGGTGCATCTCTAACCTGATATTTGCAGCTCCTCCAAGAGACACCTTTTGCCCGAGACACCGTAGCACCAGCATCCAGCTGCATCTCTGCAGCACGAAGACAAAACAGAAACACAACTTCCTCCTATGGAACTCTGCTCTTCAGTTTGACACCCTGTCTGCACTGTCCAGGAGGTCTGAATGTGCACATTATGGGCTAGAAGAAATTAAAGTCTGACAAAGACAGATGAGGAAATTGCACCACTCCACGCCCACAGCCACAAAACATGACATCAGGAAATACTGCATCCTTTCTGTTATTGAAAGGGTAGATGCTGTTCTTCTCCTGCCCAAAAATTAGGAAGTGAGGAGGGAAAAAGGATAAACCAAGCAACACACATTATCTATTTAATCAATTTGACAGAGAAAGTCATCCTCTCTCATGTAAAAGGACTTAAGCTGTTAAGATAAAGTCCCTATCTTTCAGTAACACCATCAGACCGTTTCCAAGCACAAACTGGGGATCAAGGATCAAGCGAAAGGAATATCATATTTTGGTAAGTCGACTCTTATCTCTCCAGCTGCCACGCCAAAGGCTGCTGAGGTGGAATGAAAGCAGAGTTTCAATCAGCAACAAAACACTGCAGCTCATGGACAGAGTCGCTCAAACAGGTACAAGTCCCACAGGCTTTGCGGGATCCACATATCAAAACACAGATGTAAGATTGTGCCATCCTCAGCAGCTCACCTGCAGGGCTCTGTGGCTCTTGGGAACAGAAGCTATCAAGAGAAGAACTCATTTTCGTTGTGCTATACAAGCCTTTGTTTGGGGGAATTTAGCACAAACCAAACACAAATGGAACGTGTGCCACTGAGGCTCGTGCCTTGTCTAGTGCAGTAGGAACAGAAAGTCCCTCACAATATTTACCAATAAAAACAGGCAACAAGTAACACCAGTAAGGTTTTCTTTCACTGCTAATGTCTGTGGGTTTTTTTGTTGTTGTTGTTTGCTTTGTTTTGGTTTTTTTTTTTGTGTGTGTTTTTCAAAAATCAACATTCCTGCTAAATAAGCATCTATTTTCCCAGTTGTCTACATTTAAAGCTGCAGAAGACAGTGGATGTAAGAATTACAGTAAGTTCCCTATTCATATACATATACATATTGGTTCTCTATTCATACATATACTAAGTTCCCTATTCATATACATATACAAATTTATGTCCCAAGGGAAGACCTAGAGTAACTCCAGGCTGACTTAGCGTGTGAATCAGTGATTTTAACAATACCTACACATTCATTGCACAGGACTCTTTCAAATCACCTTATATGCCACATGGGTGGTTGTCTGACACACGTATCAGCTATTTTTTCTAGATTTTCTGTAAGCTTCAAATAGATTAAAGCAACAGTATAGCAACCCCAAATGGTATTTTTCAGCATCACAGCTAATGCTTCCCATTTAAGGGGAGTTATCACCTTAAAATTAAATACAAAATATTTTTCAAGTTCTAAAAACTCAATGTTGGCAGCCTTACCACAAACAGACTTTCTGGTTGCTTGGTTCACTCAGAAGGTGGCTCTGAACAGATTGTTACTGGCAGCTGTGTTCAGACATTATTTTGACCCTGTTATCTCCTTCCCTATTATTCTGGGGGAAAAACCTAATATTTTATATCATCCTTTCCTCTAACTGCCCCTCAACCCTGTGTCTGGTTTTAACCTGCAGCACTCTTTCTCTTGTCCTCATTCCCTGCCACACATCTCTTTCCTGACTGCCAGTCCACTGCCAGAACATTTAACTTTCTCCTGCCCCAAGTCAGGACCTACCACAGCCTATGGAAAAAATTACAAGACAACAAAAATAATCATTTATTTGCAAAGGCAGGGTTTGCTCTTTCCCTGTAGCTGGCTTTTTTCCTAGAAGGAAGCAAGGTAGGGCTCACTTCTCAGTGTCACTTCTAAATATCAAATATAAATGAAGGCTTGCAATACCATCCTCTGTGAAAGCGAAAGCACCACCAGTGGGTTACTGGATGCCCAGGTGTACCCTGTTTAGAAAAAACTAGATATTACCCAGACTAACAAAACTTCTTTGTGTTTATTTAAAGCGAGACCTTTCATAATTAGTTTTATGGATTTCATTTAATGAAAACCTTTTACAGTCTGGGTAAACACATTCCATTTATTGTGATAAAGAATTTGGAGATCACAAATGATCCTGATAAAGACTCTGTGATGGAGTCATACCTTCCAAGCTCACGCTGACCGTTGTTTGATATAAGACCTGCAGTCAACTAACTCACACCAGTATTTGTAAATAAGCTCCCATCACTTGAACTGAAGCAAAAAGAAAAGCCTGATTCTTCCCAAACCCTGTTCTCTCATTCAGAGTTATAAATAAAAAGAGAATCTCACCTCAAGGTGTGCATAAATTCTTAGCTTCCCCAGCACACACTCAGACTCTGCAGCACAGAAGCAGACCATGCCAACGTGAAAAGATGCACAGGAGATTATTTAGTAAAAAATACACTGACATTCCATTTTCAGAAAGTTGTAGACAACTTCCATTTATGGTTACAAATATTTCCTGCCATTTAAACAACCAAGCAAACATGGTTTTTCCAGTACAAGTGATATTCTCTATTACCATTTCTGCATTCAATTTGCTATCTGTATTCGTGGGCCTGATAAACACATTACAAACAACGTAAAATAGGACCACTTCACCACTTACTGATGACATACAGATGTGTAGGAGTTTGGTACTTCCCTCCTTGCTAAGAAAACATAATGACAAAAGAAAAAATGCACTGAAAAACAGTGGCATCCCTCATCACTGAACTATTCAGAAAACAACAACTCTATTTCAATTTATGTCATTCACTGGGTGCTCTAAGGAAAACCAAGGAGGTAGTGCTGCTTTCTGGATTCAGTACACTTCTGAAAACCTTTACTATGAAAGTTTTGTGTAATTGTACCAGAAATAGGTTATTTTGAAGTCCTACCACCACGTATGAAAATTGGGAAATACCATCTATTTTCTTGTCTATCATTTCAGTTAACATTTTCTAGAAGGCGTACATCTTCAGACAGTGGGGAGGTCTCTTCCTTGCTTTGTGTCCATGTTTAGATAAAGATCACTACAAGTTCCCCCATCCAGTGCCCTAAACAAGACATAAATGCCATCATCATCAGTCTTAACAAGCTCTAAATTGCAATGTATATTAACGGAATGACCTTCTCCAGTAAGATTTTCATTAGCAAACTAGGATGGAAAACAGTAAGTAGCACCACTTAGCCAATTTTAGTAGATTATCTACATCATTCTTTGTGACATCAGTTGATATTCAGAGCAAGAAAATTGGGATCCCTACAAGCCATCATAAAGCACAAAGTTAACCACTTTTTTTAATCCTGTATTACCTAGAAAGTATTACCAGATAGGTTTGCAAGTTTGGCTGCTGCAGAGAGTTTGCCTGCAAAGCTGCTATGTGTGAGCAAGAAACCTAACCTCAGCATGTCACAATTCCACAAATAAATGCACAGTGCCAGGTTATTTCTGCTGAAGGTAAGAAAATTTGACAACAACATGACCACAACACTAGTGAATGAGGACAGCCAAAAGCTGGTAGCAGAGGCCATGCCCATTTCCCAAAGGGGCCAGCAGGACATCCATACCACTGAAGAAAAGCCTCCAAACATCTGTCATCTGCCAATGGATAAGTGCTGAATATAGCAAACATCTAAATGTCAAATCCTTATGCTAAGGTTTCCCTTCTTTTTTCTTTTCCAGTCAAAACTTCTTAAAGAGACACCAGATGTCCACTGCTGTATAAGTCACACAAAAAGCAAAGGCAGTAAGGATGTGCCCCCAGCTCTGCCCTGCACTCTCAACCTGCCAGGCCTCCTTGGCAAAGGAAGAGGATGATGCTAGGGATACACGTGCTGTGAGAGTGAGGAGCACTAATCTTGATTTCCCTTAGTGATTCATTTATGAAAATGGGATCCAAAATACCTGAAACATGAGGAATGTGATCCTTTAGTTATTACTGAAAAGGCCAAAACGTGCTTTAGAAAGAAGATAGATTTTTCCTATCCTTGGATCAAAACAGATCTGTTCCGATACGAAAGGCAAAAGGAAGACACTGCAGAGCGTTCAAATAGGTTTCTTGGTCAGAAGTGAGAGGAACAATCAGCACAATGAAACAGAATACAGAAATACATCTTAACAATTCAGTGCTTATTGCTTATCCCTACTGCACTGAATAACCAGCACTGACCTGCTGCTACTTAACAAGAACATATGTTTTGCTATAAACCTGCACAGTGAAAATTTGGTAAGTCAAGTCCTGAGATCTATTTGCCTATTGGAGAATCAGTTGAAAAGCTCTCGTTTGCTCTGTCCATTTCAAAAGAAAGCAGACATACACTGTAGAAGAAAGTCTTGCAAGCAAACACACTGCATGAATAAAAACAACACTCTCAAACACTGGCCCATGGATAAAAGGCAAAATATACCTACAACATACCAAAATTCATGAAATTAATTCAGATCTCCAAAGAAGCACATCTACAAGAAGTACAGGTGGAGTTAATGCATCAGTAAGCAACCCAAAACATCCATGGAAAGCAGCAGAAACACTACCTGCACATTTTGTCCTTGTTGTGAGTGGCGGTCCAGGTGGTCCTGTGCCTCCTTCTCCAGGGCGAGTCAGCAGCACTCTGATCTCATACTCCACATCTGGGTCCAGATGCCACAGTTTGTAATTGGGAGAGTCCACAATGTGTGTTTCTGCCCAGTTCCCAGTGGTTGTCCGATACTCCACCTCTTTCAGTATGATGGGCCCGTCTCCGATGATGGAGTTGGCGTTGGGTTTGATCCACAGGTAGGTGGCTCCAACAGCCAGCAGTTCAGGAGGGGCAATAGGAGTTGGGGGTTCTGTAGATAAAGAGAAATCATGAGAGGCCTGAGGTCGTTTCATCGAAATGAAATTTCCACTATGTACCTGTAAAGCAAGCCTGCCCCCAAATCTTTCGTTAGTTACTGAGCGTTTCCTGTGATTTACCAAATCTTTCATGAGAATTTGTTTTCCGTTATGGAAAAACAAAGGAAAAAGGCATTATATTTGTTTTGAAGTTACTGCCCCTTGTACTGGTGTATTAATGCAACTGGTAGCATTACCAATGCAGAAACATTACTTCAAAAATACAGTGCCTACAAAGCAGCTTCTGCTGAAAATATAAAGCACAACAGTGACACGTTTAAAAGGTCAGAAGGTTTGTACTTATTCCCTTCTTTATTCATATGCATAACGGCTGTGAATATAACACAGGAGAAGGAAAAGAAGTCTTAAATAACACAGATTGAGCATAACTGTGTAGTGCTTAAAATGACACAACTAGCAATGAGTGGAAAACTCAAATCACTTGCTCATTCCGTAGTCTTATTAAGGCAAACAAATATGAAAAATAGGATAGATTTGTAATGAAAGTACTGGTTATTTGTCTGAGAAGGTACTGCAGCTATGAACACTGGGGATCTCCCAGTGGTCCTGCACTCCAGACATCACTAAAACTGACTGAGAGCTTTGGTAGCTCAGAGCTAAGAAAAACAAAGGCACCAATGATTGACTGTGAAGTTTTTGCTTAATTTCATGAGCAGAAGTACACAAGTAAAGTCTGTTTGAGACTTGGAAGAGTGCCTAGATGTCTGAAAAGCATCACGAGGAACCCAGCCACTGAATATAACCTGTGTGATAGAAAAGCAAAGACAAGTACCAATATCTCAGCAGCACCTCAGCATCTCAATGACAAAAACCACTGCAGGTCTCCTGGGCTCTGCCTGCCTGTCTGACTGATTCCCCCCCTGCACCCTCAGGATGTAAGTACCAACATGGTATTGGAAGCCACATGAATAAAATATGCTTTGTGGTTTTGAAAACCCAAGCTGAACTGTGCAAGATTATGAGCAATTTCATTAATTTCATTTAGCTTTCGCTCTGCCACACTCTACTGTGGTTTGTCTTCAGAGGACACAGATCCTATTCTCTTGTGCAAACAAGGTGACAAAAAGGACATTTCTCTTTCAGAAGAAGAAACATATGAATGTTACTCCAGGTTACTCTGGGATTTGATTGCCAGTTAGAACAGATTTATGGGCCTGAGTTTAATTAATAAAACAGTTTGTCCTGCTAACCAGACATTAAAGTCTTGTCTAGCAAGTTTAGAAACTAATATTGCCAAAGCAATTTAAATTAAGACGACATCCAGCATTATTTCACTGTCTACTTCAGGACAGACCTAAACTGCCTCCCCTCCACCTCTGCCAAGATGGAGATGATGGTTTCCACTTTCTTCTACCCACTCATTTTTGGCTCTCCAGTAACATCAGAGAAATAGACGATGCAGGATATTAGAAAATTAGGAGTTGAAACTGTTGCTCTCATTTTCCAAACTGAAGAAGCAAAGATGAGCAGCAGTAACTGTAATTTTTCAGGACTCAATAACACCTCACTGCACATAATGGGCTCTTTCCTACTGGCACCAACTGGACAGAAAGCTACTTTTCAACATCACTCTTTGCCAAGTTACTGCAAGTGATCTAAACAAGTTATTCATTATTTAGCACAACTAGCACATAAATAAGGACCGCTTTTGTCCATTGTAACTAAACACGCTTGTCAGGTACAGATGACCAGGCTCATGCTATCAGCTTGCTTTTGTAATTAAAACCTCTCTGCGACCTTGATTAAATAAACAGGGTAACAGATTGGGTCTGTACACATGTAATTGTGATCAGCAGTATTTTAAGCCTCATTTGATCCATCCAGCCAGTCTTTCATATTGCAAGCTTTGCTCCCTTTCAGCCTTTATCCCCTCTTCCTGCAGACTCTTCAGGAAAGAGCACATCTGGAACTGGGCTGCTGCAGTGGGGATGGCATCTAGCCTGAATCCCAGTCCCAGGAAGGACACAGAAATGAGGGTCCTAGATGACTTCTTGCAAGAAAAGACAAGACATACGTAGTACAAGCCCAAAACAGAGTTACTGAACATGCATAGATTTTACCCTGTGCACAAAGCACTCCCAATTATGCATTCAGCAATGGAATTCAGGGTGTACTCTTCTCCCCCCATAAGAGGAAACACTTCACACGCTGCACCCATTTTACTCTTGGGCAACTGTTTCTGGGTATCTCTACTCTACTACTGGAATATTTCTCTACATGACAATTCTAAGCAATTGCTTTAATAGGGCTCAAAGGGCTCCAAAATGAGGGAGAGAAAAGAGGATGAACCAAGTGATCTGCAACAAAGCACTGGGTGCAGGTTGGATGAAAAAACTTGAAATAAGAACAGGGGTTATGTTCTATACTTAGTTTTCCAGTTATCTGTATAGTTCAGTGGTAAAACACTGTGAAGTGGACCAAAAGATGGAGAAAGTCAATAGAAGTCTGCTAAGCTCTGGCAGTTGGGATCAATCATGAAGGAAAAAAGATATTATAGAAGACAAATTATTTGTTTGAGTCACCTTCACCACACTACTTTTTTTTTTCCTCTCCTATAAAGATGATGTACTGTTAGTAAGAAAATGTTACGTTGGGAAAAATCAAGAAGTGTGTTAGAAACATGGCAGGAAGCAGCTGATTGTCAGTCCTTGGTAGAGGTCTCAACAGTTCTGGAGCTTTTCATGGAAACAAAGAGCTCCCAAGGAAAACATGAAATGCTACAGATTTTGATTGCTGCAGTGAAAGAAACCAGAATTATCTTCATAGGAGGTGCTGGGTAATCCTTTAAGTAGTAGATCAGTAGATCTTCGATGTATAAGCAACTGTAAAATGTACTAGATTGACCATCATTCAAGTAAAAGGCATGTAGTTGCTCTCCCAGCAGTGTGACAAATACTCCCCAATCAGCAACGACTTTCATCTTGCAAATGCACCCAGAGGTACATTAGGATTATTTCACAGAGTGCTTTTTCTGAACTCTTTTTGCCAACTTTAGCCCAACTTACCTCTCACATCTAAAACCCCAGTGTGAAAAAGCAAGATGAGATTGCTGAAAACTGAGCAGCCTGTTCAAAAGCCAAATAGAACTGAGGGAAAAATTCCCTTTTGGTAGAAGTATATGATGAAGCAAAAAATGTTTGAAAATACAGTTGCAAGAAACATGCTCAGCCTAACTGAAACAAAGCTAAAGCCATTAATCTTCTTGCCCATTACTGAATACAAACAGAAACCACTGCTTATGTTCCATAAGGCGATATTCTTAGAAGGGGTAATACCTTCTAGGACAACCAACCAGCTATCTAAATGTTGCAGTGAATGCCTCCTGCATTAATTCTGTCTGAAAGTTTGTATCATCTTTAACAACACAGAGAAACAATTCCAGAGCAAGTCCTTGCTAAAGGCCTATTCTAAACCACTACAATCCCAGATGGAAAGCAATGATCTCCTAACTAAGAACAAATCCTGAGTATGGAGCTGGAAGGGATCACAGCCAAGGTCTTGCTGTATCAATCCTCAATGAAAGAAGACTGAAGTTCCATCACCATCACGACATCTCTGATCTGTCCACAGGAAAAGGGCATTCTCTACCAAAAGACCTTTAGAAACACTCCAGTGTTCTCATGGGCAGCAGAAAGGAACTGCCAAATAAGCTATCTCAAAATCAGATGTGACAACAGGAGAATGTTGAGGGTTTTGTTTGTTTGTTTGTTTGTATGTAGGTTTGTTCTAAATCAGTGCTTCAGATTTCTGTAAGAAAGTAAAAAAATGCTCTCAGTCAAATTGGCACACTTCTGTTGCTGGTTCTCTGGGGTGCTGTTGCAATTGGACAGTTGTTCTTTGCTTTTTGATTTTTTGAGACTTCATGCATGTATCTCATGACAGAAGGGAATATTTCTGTGAACAGCTTACATCAATTACAAAAAATTCAAGACAATTAATTGACAAAACTGAAGCCATGGAACGTTGCTGCTTTTTGATCAGGGATAGAAGAGACTGATCTTTGTGATAGTAAAAGCAAAGGGAAAGCAGCTGATTCCTTTGCAGAGAGTTAGTGTTAATACTGGGAAATTTTTCTGTGTGTCTTGTCCTGCTTCCAAAGACAGAGAACACACAGGAACACAAGATCAGCTCTACCTGATCAGCCCAAAAGTCCATCACACCCAAAAAACAGTCCCAAGTCTGTATGTATGTGTAAGAACAGAATTACATGTTGATTTTCTACAGCATGTAGTACTACCTAAGGACTTCCCAAGCTCCCTAAAATAATCTTCCAGTATCTGTGTCAACCAAAGAAGTTTCACAGGACAACCTCCTGCTGACCAAAGTCTCCACCTGAAGTTACAAAATGCATCAAAGTGCAAAGCGCTGTGAAAAGACGTTTGCTGGACAAGCAGGATTTGTGTTCCCAAACCTGATACTGCTTTTTCCCCTACCAACAGGAACTTTAACAGTGCAATTTTTTCACAGCATCCTCACTGACCAGATGCAGACTGGGCAGATGAAATGGGTAAAGACGAGACCAGAAGGCAAATGTCAAGCTTCTTCAGAACCCTTTTATATCATTTTTTTTTTAAATACAACAAAAACTCCAGAACAGAACATAATTGCATTGTTTTCTACACAAAAGACACAAACAGTGGCCACTTAAATTTGCACTTAAGAATGCAATTTAATTAATTAAATTTGCACTTAAGAATGCAAACCCAGCGGTTTTAAGAAAAGAAATGGAAACGTTGAAGTGCCATTGTTCGGATTTTTTTGCACCTCTGTCCTTGAAGATAAATCTGTCACCTTTGCACAGCTGTTGCACACCTTATCTGTAGTGACAGCTAGCCCTAAGAGCCAGACACGTAACTGAACAGCATCTGTGTGACTCCTACTTTTATACCTCTGCAACGAGCATTTTGAGCTTTGTATCATGGTACTTATATTG